AGTAGTCTAGTCTAGTCTAGTCTAGTCTATAGTCTAGTCTATAGTCTAGTCTATAGTCTAGTCTATAGTCTAGTCTATAGTCTAGTCTATAGTCTAGTCTATAGTCTAGTCTATAGTCTAGTCTATAGTCTAGTCTATAGTCTAGTCTATAGTCTAGTCTAGTAGTCTAGTCTAGTCTATAGGTCTAGTCTATAGTCTAGTCTATAGTCTAGTCTATAGTCTAGTCTATAGTCTAGTCTATAGTCTAGTCTATAGTCTAGTCTATAGTCTAGTCTATAGTCTAGTCTATAGTCTAGTCTATAGTCTAGTCTATAGTCTAGTCTATAGTCTAGTCTATAGTCTAGTCTATAGTCTAGTCTATAGTCTAGTCTATAGTCTAGTCTATAGTCTAGTCTATAGTCTAGTCTATAGTCTAGTCTATAGTCTAGTCTATAGTCTAGTCTATAGTCTAGTCTATAGTCTAGTCTATAGTCTAGTCTATAGTCTAGTCTATAGTCTAGTCTATAGTCTAGTCTATAGTCTAGTCTATAGTCTAGTCTATAGTCTAGTCTATAGTCTAGTCTATAGTCTAGTCTATAGTCTAGTCTATAGTCTAGTCTATAGTCTAGTCTATAGTCTAGTCTATAGTCTAGTCTATAGTCTAGTCTGTAGTCTAGTCTATAGTCTAGTCTATAGTCTAGTCTATAGTCTAGTCAATAGTCAAGTCTGTAGTCTAGTCTATAGTCTAGTCTATAGTCTAGTCTATAGTCTAGTCTATAGTCTAGTCTATAGTCTAGTCTATAGTCTAGTCTATAGTCTAGTCTATAGTCTAGTCTATAGTCTAGTCTATAGTCTAGTCTATAGTCTAGTCTATAGTCTAGTCTATAGTCTAGTCTATAGTCTAGTCTATAGTCTAGTCTATAGTCTAGTCTATAGTCTAGTCTATAGTCTAGTCTATAGTCTAGTCTATAGTCTAGTCTATAGTCTAGTCTATAGTCTAGTCTATAGTCTAGTCTATAGTCTAGTCTATAGTCTAGTCTATAGTCTAGTCTATAGTCTAGTCTATAGTCTAGTCTATAGTCTAGTCTATAGACTAGTCTATAGTTTAGTTTATAGTCTAGTCTATAGTCTAGTCTATAGTCTAGTCTATAGTCTAGTATATAGTCTAGTCTATAATCTATTCTATAGTCTAGTCTATAATCTATTATATAGTCTATAATCTAGTTTATAGTCTAGTCTATAGTCTAGGCTATAGTCTAGTCTATAGGCTAGTCTATAGTCTAGTCTATAGTCTAGTCTATGGTCTAGGCTATAGTCTGACCTATAATCTAGTCTATAGTCCAGTCTATGGTCTAGGCTATAGTCTAACCTATAATCTAGTATATAGTCTAGTCTATAGTCCAGGTTACAGTCAAATCTATTTTCTAGTCTATAGTCAAGTGGAAAATTAGTTTAGTACTTTAAAATCTAAAAAGTAATATTTTTGTTAAAATAGTATATATTTCATGTACTTCTGTTCATCACTGTTATTGTTATTTTAACCATATTGTTTTTCAATATTTAATTCTTTAAATTTGTCAACAAACAAATTATTGCAAATAATGCAGCAAATGGCCAATGACCGTTAGAAGTACATAGAAATTCAAATACATACAAATAAGTACATATGTATTGAAGACAAACTAAACCAAAAACTTTTTGCATTCTGACTTGTAACATAAAGACGACAACTGAAATGTTCGAATAAGGTTGTATATCTTTGAACAATTTGTGAATGTACGTAGTAATTCAACGCAGCGTATACGTATTACACATGAATACAATTCTTCATACTCTAATGAATATGAGTAAATAAGTCTTTTACTGGTATGTTTGTTCATATGTAAGTAGTATTTTTATTTTACTTATGGATACAGCCATACATTCATCCATTCGTTCGTTCATTCATTTGGTATGATTATGAAAAATTCCAAACTATATAATGCGGATACATATTTCACACTAAACGTTAACATGAACCTTGACAAAAGTCTTGAATCAATTGAACTTTTCATTTCATTCATAATATTTTTTCAAATAAAAATACAAAGATGTGACAAATATACCGTCATATACACACACATGTATGGGCATAAATATATATTTTTTTCTGCTTCAATATTTTATGAGTTTAGCACGCAAAATTATTCGTTTAAGCCGGTACTATTTTTTAGTATTGAAAGCGAAAAATGATGATATTTTGAACAATTAAATTGATACTTTTTAGAGGAGTATGTTTCATGTCACTCACATTACTAGAGTATCATCTCATCGTAATTTTTTTTCAGAAGTTTCTGCAAACATTAAAAAATGCTTTTGTAATTCAATTAAATGTGAACAATTGATTCTATAAAAACACGTGAACAATAAAAAACACAAATATTTGTACAAATATCGTTGAATGTGTCTGGAAATTTGATGTTATTACAAAAATATTTAGTACTATTGAACCCGACATACAAACAATTGAAAAAGTAGATACTTTTCTCTTTTAATTTATTTAGGAAAACAATTATTGAAGTGCTATTTAAAGGCCAATGACGCCTCATGATAGTCTACTATTGATAGTCCATTTATTCTCCAACCAAATAATCTTTATATTAAAGTAATTTGTAAAAAATTTGAGGACTCCTACCTGTTATAGTTTCCCAAATACACAAACTTTAGTATAAAATGGATATGGGAGGCCCAACGCCTACTATTGGAAATTCAGACAATTTTTCAACGCCCCATATTGCTAGAATCATTTCCCCCAAGAGTTCACATGAATTTCAAAGTTTGATGATTCTAGCTCTAATAGTTTCAATGATATACGAATTTAATTTACATATTCTTTCCGATATTCTCATTTAATATTTTTTCTTTATATGGGAGGTGCCACGACCACTATAGCCAGCCACTCATTTTTCCCCCATACGTTCATATGAACGTCAAAGTTCAGTTTCGAAACAAAAAGTGTTTAAAGTTTTTTGTGGTTTAATTTACAATTCCCATGATTTGTTATTCAAGAAATGTCATAAAATATTCAAAGCCATTTTTCTCGAAACCATATTTTTGAGTTATGCCAGTGTTGTAGTAAATGAGCGATATGGTTTAATATTAATTTTGTTCTACCTACCTAGCTCTAATAGTTTCAATGATATACGAATTTAATTTACATATTCTTTCCGATATTCTCATTTAATATTTTTTCTTTATATGGGAGGTGCCACGACCACTATAGCCAGCCACTCATTTTTCCCCCATACGTTCATATGAACGTCAAAGTTCAGTTTCGAAACAAAAAGTGTTTAAAGTTTTTTGTGGTTTAATTTACAATTCCCATGATTTGTTATTCAAGAAATGTCATAAAATATTCAAAGCCATTTTTCTCGAAACCATATTTTTGAGTTATGCCAGTGTTGTAGTAAATGAGCGATATGGTTTAATATTAATTTTGTTCTACCTAATCTACTAATTTCGGTAAATAAATTTAAATTTTTAGATTTTATTTAAAAATATATTTTTTTATAAGAAAAAAGTAGGATTGTCACGTGGTCATTCATTATTCGCTTTTAAAGAGACATATTATAAAATGATCATATGTATATTGTACATAAAAACTGAAAGACCCAAATAATAAGCATGGAGTCGTTATCAAGTTATTTTAAGAATTATGAAATAATAAATTTAAGAACAATGAATTAAAATCGCAAAGATTAATTGATGTTTCATCGATGTTCTTATTAAATTAATCTGTAAAACATGAGCATATATGAAAGTACATACATATATTTGTATATACATGATAAGAGTAAAAATAGGGAAGTCCGTTCACATCGAAATGACAAGACAACTCTTTTAATTTTTCTATTCAGAATACTATCATCAATTCGAAGCTGTAAATAATAAGACTATTTATTGTAAGTATAGCGTTTTTAACAGTCCAATTGAAACTCGATATTAATTTTGCGAAATTTTTCGAAATCTGAAAAGATCCGTCTTTCGAACATAAATGTTGATAATCTGTATTTCTATTTTTAGTATAACCATAAATGAACTAAAAATGTGAACTTTTTTAAAATTGAATAACAAATTATTGAAGTTGCCAAATCTAATCGTCTAACCATTTAGCTTAAATGCTATTTTAGCAAAATTAGCAACACTGTTTGCATAATTTTGATATCTTTATAACATTGTCAGTCTGGCCTATGGGATTATATTATAAAATTGTTTACATGTAGACAAAACTAAATAACAAACACTAATCATCAGTGATAATAGAAAATGTGCAAATTTGTTTAATTAATAAGAATTATGATTGTGTCTTATTAATTTTACTTTCGTAATTCTTTGATTGATTAAATTATGACGCATTTGTGAATAAAAATAAATAATTGATAATACCCTTCAGTTATGGATAAATGATATTTTTAACGTCATAAGCGATTCATTAATAACCGGATGAAGACTTGGTGTGGGAAATTTTATTTTGAAAACATATTTAAAAGAAATTATGAAAAATGTAGGATACTTTTTGTTGTGAAATTTAAAGTGGAAAACTTCGACAGGAATAGCGGGCATTGACACCTCGCATACAAATACAATGTTCCAAATCCACCATTAAAAACTGGTCATATATCGATATAAATTTGAACATTTCGAAAGATGTTCTTCAGTGGGACTTGTGTCAATTGTGAAACGAACTTTTTAGAATTCTAAAGAGTGATTAATTTTTAATAACAAAAACTGGACCGATTTTCCCCATTTCCGATGAGCAAACTGCGTTAATGAATATTTGTAAAAATTTTCAGCGCTTTAGGTCTTCCCGTTTAGGACCAATGGTGTTTTCAAGATGGAAGATCTTCTACATCCTTTTAGAATCTAATAAGTACCCATAATACTACCAATATTTAAGTGTGTTCCAAATGACAAAGTTAATATTTCGGAGTGTTATTTGATCATTTTAGATCGTAAATAAAAAATAATTCATGTATACTCACCAGCTTTACTAGACGCATCTTTATCACCCTGTTCTTCTAGACGATCTGTCAGCAACGAATGTATGACTCCATATGTGTTTATAATACCGAATATCACACCATTACAGAGAAATGCACTCACCATAACCAACCATGCTCGCATGCCCCCATCTGGAGGCTCCTTGCCGTGAATATCTCGACAACATGGCGCCTCGATATGCACTTCGGTTGGTGAATTACTGTTGTTCTTACACTTTTTATTGTTGCATGTTTTGTGTTGTACTAAACTGACACCGTTTGTGGTTTCCTTTGAATATTGACCATTTAATATGGGTTGACTGTTGCCATTGGTTAATCTGTTATGCTGATCGCTATGTACAATTTGTCCATTCGTATGGGAGGACTTTTCGTTAAGAGGTTCGTTTTCTGTCATCTTTAGATGGTCTGTTGGTTATATGAGTCAACAAAATATTGTCTGTAAATATGTATTAAAATTATTATTTTAAATAAATGTTTTTGTAATCTATATTTAATAAAATAAATTGTACTTAAATACTTATACATATCGTACTACAATATCAATGTTTTCCTTATTCTAAATTTGCTTAAATTTGCAAATAATTTTACAAAAATTTTACAAAAGTGCGTTCAATTTGGTTTTAAACGTGATTTTTGCTTATATAATAACTTAATCTTACATTAATCTTAAAGACTTATGAAAACACACATTGAGGCCATTTACACATCTGTATGTATAAGTATGTAATTCCGATTAGATGTTATAATCAGTAAATAAAAAAATTATATGTTGTTCCGCATTTACTTAAGTAACATCCCAGCAAAAACTTGGTAATGTCATTCAATTGTAACCACTTACATATTAAGATACTTTTCAAACGTCTTATTAATAATGTGTTATATACTTTCCAATTCATTATTCATCCTCTTCATGAAGACACTGACGCTATATACATTTTTTCGTACGATTTACATTGACTACTATTTCTGATTACTTCTAAGCGATTGTGGTATTTCACCGTGTTAAAATAATGACTTCAAATTTTAGCATTTTAACCCCTTACATGGTAATGCAGGGTCTTACTGGGATCTTCTTCCATTCGAAAAATAAACGTAGTCTAGGTTCAAACTTTAGAATAGACTTTTTCAACTACTAGATCGGATTAGGTTTTATTTTTATGTATCGTAAATTTAATTGATACACAATTTATAACAGCGTACTATTATTTATTACTTTATCACATATAATTAAAGACTACTTATTAATTAATAATACAATATTTTTCCTTTTTCGAAAGTAGAGTAAAATTTATGATAATGTGTGTTTTTGCTACTATGATCATGCTTCACATGATCACTTTTTTTGCTCTACTATTTTACCACATACATACATTGTAAATATTTTCAATAAAATGATACAACAATTTACAAAAAATTTAAATTGCCTATTTATTGTGTAAAAATGCTTTCAACAATTTTAAATTAATTGTTATTGATAAAATAAATTTTTTAGCTTTATTGAAGAGAATTTAAAGAAACTGAACTGAAAATTGGTTTTGCAAAATACAGAGAGAAAGTGACGAGTCATGTGGAATTTTTTCCCTTGAGTTTGCAACTACGCTACCAAAATATTACGCCTAAAAGAGTAAGAAAGAAGTACTGAAAAAGAACTTCTGAAACAATGAATTAAACTTAGGCTTGCCATAGAAAGAATTTTCCTTTTTTTTGTATTTCGTTTCATTAGTTCAGAATAATCTTTATGGACATAATTTGAGGTTTAAGAACAAAAAACTATCCAAAAAGTTGACTCTTATAAACTTTTATTCCATCAGGAATCTATATATCCGAATTTAATATTTCTATATTCAATATTATAGAAAATTCAAATTATACCTTTTGAAGAATGAGAAAGTACCAAAAGGTCCCCATTTTCATTTATTCCGAGCTCTACATGCTTAATTTCATGTTTCTAGGTTCAATATTAAATGAAACTCAAAAAGTACCTTTTGAAGAACTAAAAAGTACCAAAAAAGTCCTTGGTACCTAAGTTCAAAGGCGTCGATCGGCTTGGAAATAAGTCGGAAATAAGTACATCGAAGTTGCCAATGACGGAGCTATCTTCCAGGACAAATGGGTGATAATCCGTCAAAAAATGGTGGAGGTGTACTGAAAAATTCTCAAGGAAAATCGCGGTCCATCTCCGCTAAATGACAATGCTGGCTGGTACTTAAGCCACGAACGAGCGCTCAACAAATTTGCTTAAATTAGCGGTGACTTCTCTAGTGGAAGTATGGCCCGGCGCTAAACTCGATGTGATCTCGGTCAGTGAGTTATAAACAGACATAGGACATAGAGTGATTTTGATATACAAATTGTAACATAGTTGCCCAGCAAAAAAAGAACTTCCAAAGAAGCGAAAAAGAGGTAGAATTTACTCTATGGAAGTACTGAAAAAGACCTGAAGAAGTGATGATTTTAACATAGGCTTGTCATAAGACGGATGTCCTTTTCATTTGATTTTAAATTCAGCATTGAAAAAATAGAATTATTTTCGCTTCTTCGGGAGTCATTAAACATCACTTCCACAGAATATAAAAAATTCACTAATTGCTACTTTTGAAGTGGTGATAAATGTTATTCTTTTGTAAGTACTTCGCTGGGTGATATCGGTAAAATGTATATTAATATTTGTAAATATTAATGTCCTGGATAAATAATGCAGTATAAGTAGTTCAAAAACAACTAATGATATGCAAACATAGTTTCTAACTAAAATGTAGGATATTTGATTGCCAACAGAAATGTAGTAGCATCTAAAGTCTTAAGGTATGAATTAAGTTTTTTTTCATTTTTATGAGAAAGTTTAGAAAAAATTTATTTAAGTTATCAGAGTTATTTTTAGTAATATAACTAGTGGAAGGTGACAATTGACACTTTTCCAACTTTAAGGATGTCAATAGTATTAAGGGAAATTTTGAAAAAAATTATAAATAAAACAGTAAAACCTCATTTTTATGAGTCACGGGACTAGTTCATTAAAATCTTTGGCAAATACATAAATCACACATAGTTAACCATCGAAAAAAAATTCTTAAAATATAATATTACAAATTTGCCAATTTTTTTAGAATTAAAGAGATTCAAATGAAAACGTCACAAATTATACTACATGTACATAAAAATTATTACATTTTTAAAATGTGTTTTTTTTACAAAAATAAACGAGAGTATTACGAGAACTGTTATCAAATGCATGCAAAATACCTAATATATAAAAATAAATATTTAACAAATTCACTCACTCGCTTCGCTCACAACTAATCTTAAAAATACACGTGTTAAACACTTTATTGCACGCTGGCAAACTCTTTCACTCACTCCCTTTCTCTCTCCTTCTTACTCGCTCGTTCACTTTCTTTTCGGTAGTAGAATCACACTGTAATTGTGCAATGTGCAACAATAATATTTAAATTTATTGATTTTCCCTAATTTTTATTGCAAATATGTATTTGTTTGTTTGATTGTTTTAAATTTGAATTGAATTATTTATTTTTATGTAACCTTGAATACGAACAATTTACGACAATTATATTTGTTTAATTTTATTATTTTGTTTATTGTTGTTGTTATTATTTTCTAATGCACAAGAATAAATAAATAATAAAAGAAGACACACAAATTTATTTTAGAAAAATAAAACCGCACAGTTTGTTTTTTGTTTTTACGTAAAAATTAAATATTTAAATAAAAAACTACCGATTGATATTTTTACATAGAATTGTTGTTAAAACACTCATTTACACATTTATATATTAATACGTACTCTATTACTTTTATATTTATTTTGTTATTATTTAGTTAATTAGTGCGTTATTATTTTTTGTATTTTATTTAATTTATTAATTTTATTTTGAAAAAATAATAAAGAACCGAATTTAAGCGAACCCACCATTCATTGTGGTGGTTGGAAATAAAGTAAAACAATTTCATATTCTCACTGCGACAAATATTGCTTCGCAAATGCGCTACATAAATCAAACGGTAGTGTCGATATCAATTAGGCATTTGTATTTATTTAAGTTAATAATTAACAATTTAAATAAAAAATTACTTACCGTAATATATTTGATTTTAATGAATTAACTTTATCAATACAGAAAGAATTTAAATTAATGTTTTTATACCCACCATCAAAAAAGATGGGGGGTATATTGTTTTTGTCATTCCGTTTTTAACACATCGAAATATTCATCTAAGACCCATAAAAGTATATATATTCTGGATCCTTATTAAATTCTAAGACGATCTAGACATGTCCGTCCGTCTGTTGAAAACACGATAGAGTCCAAACGGAAGCAGCTAGCGAGCTGATTTTGCACAAGTATTTTATATTGATGCAGTTTGTTTGGTATTGAAAATGGACAATATCGGTCAACGATTTCGCCTAGCCCCCATATAAGGTCCCCTTCAGAAAATGACTTTAACGCTCATAACTGACTAAAAGAAACATCTATAGCAATGAAATTCGACATTAACATATTTTATAGGAAATTTAATATCATTGTAAAATTTTATAAGGATCGGTCCATAACTGACCCTATCCCCCATATAAGGTCCCCCTCAGAAAATGACATTAACGCTCATAACTGACTAAAAGAAGCAACTATAGCGATGAAATTCGACATAAACATATTTTATAGGAACCTTAATACCATTGTAAAAGTTTATAAGGATCGGTCCATAATTGACCCTATCCCCCATATAAGGTCCCCTTCAGAAAATGGCTTTAAGGCTCATAACTGTCTAAAAGAAGCATCTATAGCGATGAAATTCGACATAAACTTATTCTATAGAAACCTAAATCGCTTTGTAAAATTTTATAACGTTCGGTCCATAATTGATCCTACCCCCATATAAGGTCCCCTTCAGAAAATGGCTTTATCGCTCATTACTAGCCTAAACTAAAATCATTGTAGAAAATTTAACGAGGATCGGTCCATAATTGACCAAACGTCCCCCCTAAACAAGATCCCTCTCAGAAAATAACATTAACGCTTTTTACTGCCTTATAAATACAAGTACAGCGACAAAATTCGACAAAAATTTCTCTATACCTAGATGTAATAAATGAGAAAATTGTTTTGATAATAACAAAAGCATCGATTCTTAAATATCAAAGTTTAGAAGCATTCCTTTTTAGCAATGATTTGATGGTGGGTATACAAGATTCGGCACAGCCGAATATAACACCCTTACTTGTTTTTTTTTTTTAATTTTATTTTTCTTTTTTAACTTTTAAAAAACTTTAAATTCTGATCATATATGGTTAAAACATGAGAAAAATCCTCAAAACCTAATATTTTTGACAATATTTCGTTCAAGATAACTATATATATCGTACATATATAGTTATGTCGAACATATAACATTTTTCTAAACATAATGCATATCAAATGAAAGATCTTTCGAGCATCTTTCATTGATATACATATTACCTATATACATATATAGGTATAGATTATATATACATAGGATCCGAAATAAATTCAAAATTCTGCTCACAGTATTATTTAATGCAATCTTGACTCTAGGAATGTCCGAAAGTGCGGAAAATCTCCTGTAAGAAGATAACGATAAAAATATTATTCGGCAATATTTTTAGATGTTGCCGTGCCTTTCGACAAGGTTTAGCACATAGGTCAAATAAATAATATTTAATATACTTATACTGCCTATTATTTAACATAAAATGCTCCGATTATGTAAAAAGTGATTATGCGTTCAACGCTGGTGTTCATCAGTGGAGTGTTTTAGGACCAACACTTAACCTACTGTACACCTCTGAATTGCCTATATCCAGTAGTCATGTGGACTTAAATGTAGCATCTATAAACCTTGCTTCTTATCTCAGACCTGTGGAGACCTGACTGAAAAGTTGCAGAATTGAAGTAAACGAATTCAAAAGTTTAAACATATGTTTTCACTTAGGAGAGGAAGCTACCCTATTGAGAAACTAAACAATGTAAAAATCCCACAGTCTGATCACATGACATATGCACCTTGGTATTCACTTGGAAAGAGGCATCAATTGGCTTCGATATATGTATACACATTCTTCGTTATTACGTTAATAACCAAATAAAGAATATTTGGAGTACATGATCCATTAATGTAATCGTAAAACCTCTTCCACGTGATCTGTGGCAAGGACTATATTTTTACCCTTCACTACCATCCAGTGATGCCAAGTGTAGGGATTTTTCCCTTTTTGTAGGAATTTTTTTCAAAAATTTCACGTGTAGGGAAAAAGGGAAAGATTTCTTACTATTGTCAAATTGTAGGGATTTTTCAATTTCATAGTTTTTAACAACTAAAAATATACTCTTTCATGTATTAAACTTTTAAATTAAAAATGAAATCAGTTTTAAGTGTATCGTTAGTAAAAATTCCGCTTGTAATTTCTACAATATATATACCTACATATCGCTACAAGACTGGCATAATCCAAAATTCGGCTTTCTTGAACTAAGGTCTTCAAAACATGCGGCATACTAAAATCTTTCATATAGATTTATGAAATTTCAAATATGTCTATTATTTTCGATGTGAAATCGATTTTTTGTAAACGTAAAAACTAAAACCCACGTTTTTGTGAATATTAGACAACTAAATATTTAATTTCAATTTAGATGAGAAACATATTAACCTCAACTATCTGAATCTGGATTTTTAAAACCCCTTGATTTGTTTAAAAGTTATTAAAAAAAATAGTTAAATGTCATTAAATATTCATATCCATTTTTCTTGAAACGACTTTTTGGATTATGCCAATCCTGTAGGGCGATATATTCTGACTCCTTATAGATAGAGTAGTCGGGGGCTTAATGCAGTAACTCAGGATTGAAAAAATGAATTTAATGTTCTGAAAATTTATAAAAGTAAACCGCAAAAAGTAAACGCAAAAGTAAACCTTATTTAAAATAATTATTTTATGAAAATTTTTTTGTTGGAGGTACATAAAATAAATTTTTATCACGATTCGATATACTGCCATAAATCTTTCAATTGTTTTTTTTTAATCTTAACTGAAGAGTCAGGGTTGGAAGATTTGTATGATGTAAAATTGAAAGAAAAAATGAAAAAAAAATACATACATATATGTATATTATAAAACGGAGCTAATATTTTAGTTTTTGATGTTATTTTTGTATTTTTTTAAGATAAACTTTGAAAAAAATGGAAAAAAGTAGTGTAGGGAAAATAAAAAGTGGGTGTAGGGAAAAAAGGGATTTTTTCTCATAAGCGTAGGGATTTCTGAAAAAAATCTCCTGGCATCACTGCTACCATCAGTGGTGATAGAGGGTATATATAAGTTTGTCATTCCGTGTTTAACACCAAGAAATATACATATGTACCAATAAAGTATACATATATATTATGAAATTCTGAGTCGATTTAGCTATGCCCGTCTGTCAGCCTCAAACACGCTCACGTTAAAACTAAGCAAAAGAAATCAGCAAAATTCGCTGAAAATATTCACCAATTTCCTATTGAAAATCGGCGAAATCGGTTCACAACGTAAAAAGTTATGAGTTAAAATTTCAGACTACCTCGAAAAAAAATTACTTTTTTTTAAGAAAAAAAAAGATATAATAATAATATTCGACATAAATATGTTTTGTGTATACATATATCACATTGCAAATATATTTTTTGAATCGGTCCATAATTGGGCATAGCACCCATATAAGGCCCATTTCCGATAACCAACTAAACGAACATATTTCATAACTGAATGAAGGTATTCGTCATGAATGTGTTTAAAGTAGTTATGAATCGGATGGGTCTATAATTGTTCACAGCTCCCATATGAGGTCTACTTCCGAGAATCACTTAAATACACATAACAATGAACATAAATTAGTTATATCTGTCATATAAGATCCACTTTAGAAATTCGCATATTTCAATGATAAATAAAGATATAGGAATTAAACTCCGCATAAATAAAAAATGTTCATGATTATATTTTGTGAATACATAAATATTTATAAAGATATAGAAATCTTTGTAAAAAAAATTAGATCAATGCATAATTGGTCATAGCTCTCATATAAGGTTCTCTTCCTTAAGTCATTTTTTCCAATATACATACTATTTCATTCTCTACTGTGGTAATATAGGGCTTACGAAATTCATCGAAAAGTTTCAATCGGATATTATTTTGAGATATAAAAAAAATGATTATTTCAAACCCAAAATGTATAAAAGGTTAATTTCTAAGAAGATTGTATGTTTAAAAAATTTGTCTTTAATTTATTTTATTTTTTATGAGAAATTCGAAATATTTGACCTTTGAACATGCGGTTTATGTTTTCGTTAAATTGCAATACCTACTAGCATTTTGTTAATATAGCACCGAAAAATAAATCGGCTACATTTGTTAAGTTAATGTTATCACTATTAGCTAAACTCTATAAGAACTACATACAGAGTATCTGATTAATTATTCTGATAAGTTGTAGGGTAATTTGCAAATCATCATTTACACCTTAAAGTGTAATTGTCTTGATATTGTTATTGTAAGTATTACGTCTAAAGTTTATCTCTGAGCAACTAAATAAAAATACAATAACAACGTGTATGCATATGCATTTTCTATACCTAATTTTAGTGGTAATAGTAGTGTAGAATTTTGTAGTTATTTGATTTTCATCGGAGCAAAAGGAAATTTAAACTTGTA